AACTCTCAGTAAAAACTAAAACTGAGTCTATGTACTTTGTGCATATGAGAAGACAAGGAAGGACAATAATGCTTGGAAGAACTGAAGATAGAAGAAGGATGCTTGAACATGAAATGAATGGACTCCATAAAGGAAGTTACATGTTTTATTCAGAAAGCCCTGAGGAAGACTGTAATGACAAGACCTTTTGGAGATAATTTATTCATAGGGTTACTTAACTCATAGTGGCTTGATGCCACATAGCCTCCAAAGATGTGCACTAATTTCAAAGTTTCCAGTTCTGAAAATTCAGAAAGATCCTCTCTTTTTGCCCCCTTCGATAGTATGCTGTACATTTCTGATGCATGAGATCCATATGTGAGATCAGAACTTATCTTTATAATTTATCCACATCCTAAATTCTGTTCTTGTTAACAAATTCCGCAGATTATCTGTGGAATTTTTTCAAAGCAAATGTATGATTGCTGTTATTTATTATTTAAAAGACCTCTTCTGCCCAAGTTGTGACAATATATTAAATCTTTGTAATTTTAGTAAATGGAGTTTCTTGGACCAATGAAACACCCCGACAGAAGAGCCATACATTTAATTGTCGTATGATGGTAAAAACAGTACATGAACTTCTGGAAGATGTAGGTGGCCACCAGGATACGCATCACAGATATGAAACCATGCAGTGTTTTGCTTTATCACAGCCAAGAGCTATGTTGGAGGAAGGTGAAGGTAATAGAAAGTTGCTTTGCCATTGTTGAATTTAATTTATTATGTGAAATTTAATCTACACTGTGGTGAGCGGTGGTTTTTATTTCTCCTAATGCCATAATAGTCTTTAAATGTCAGAATATATTTTAAAACTAATGAGTTATAATCAATAATTATTTAATTGCAGATTTGCAGTCCTGTATGATATGCGTAGCACGTCGTATCTCAACTGTGGAAAGAGTATTTTCACCAAACACAGAGAGTTTTGTTACTAGGCATGATCTTTCAGGTGAGAAGTATGCTTAAAGAACTCATGAAATGTATTTTCAATGCTCAAATCCTGTTGTGAGAAATTACCCCATATAAGACTGATGATGTCACTAGCTGTACCAATTTTTCAGAAATAAAATTGTTTTGATTCCCTTGCAAAGGTTGCAAGGCTTTCATGATACCCTTTTCATTGTGGAGAAGATATGGGGGACTATAGGATGAGCGGAGTCTTTAATTTACAAAAATTGTGACCATCAGGATGCTTTATTTTTTACAAAAGAAATTAACACACACACACACCAGGTTTCAGTGGCTCACAGTGCTTTCCCCGTGACAAAAGAGATCCCTCAGGAGCCTTGGAATGTGGGGATGGGGGAATCAGTTTTTTTTTTGTTTCAAAAAAGTTGCAGCAGTTAATGGCTTTGTCAGACATATGCAATGTGAGTTACAGAACAGGGTTTCAGCCTAATCATGTTATGAATTCTTCCTCTAGGTCTCTGAGCTGGCCACATGATTAGGGTCTGTGTACATTCCATTTATACATAAACACTAGACTTTA